GTTGCTGATGGGAATGTAAAATGGTACACATTTTGGAAAACAGTTTGACAATTTCTTTTGAAAAATATGACTGAGCAAGTCCACTCCTAGGTATTTATCTAACTAAAATAAAATATATATTCACACCAAGATCTGTATACAAATATTTCTAGCAGCTCTGCAGAGGTCCAAACTGGAAGCAATCTAAATGTCTATCAATAGGTTAGTAGATAAACAAAATTGTGGCATGTTCAGACAATTCAATACCATTCAACAACAAAAAGGAACAGTGTGGGTGAATTTCAAACATACTACCCGTGTAAAAGAAGCTAGACATGAACAGTACATATTTCATTATTCAATTTACATAAAATGTTAGAAATAAAAAACTTTCATCTCTAGTGATTGAGAAGTAAATCAGTGGTTGCCTAGGTAGGGCAGTGGGAAGTAGGGATTCACTGCAAAGGGGCAGAAGGAAATTTTTAAGGTAAAGAAAATGTTTTACTTCTTGATTATAGTGACAGTTACATAGATGTGTACATTTGTCTTTAAGCTGTACTCTTTTTTTAAAATGAGGTATAATTGATATACGTTATGTTAGTTTCAGATATACAACATAATGACTTGAAATTTGTATATATTGTGAAATATTACCACAATAAGTCTAGTTAACACCCATAACCATATATAGTTGCAGAATTTTTCTTATAATGAGAACTTTTAAGATCTACTCTTAGCAACTTTCAAATATGCAATGTAGTATTAACTATAGTCACCATATTGTACATTACATCCCCATGACTCATTTATAACCAGAAGTCTGTACCTTCGGATTTCCTTCACCCATTTCACCTACCCCCCTCGTCCCCATCTATGGCAACCACCAATCAGTTCCCTGTACCTATGAGACTGTTTATTTTTTGATCCCCCATTTAAGTGCTATCATAAGGTATTTGTCTTTCTCTGATATATTTCACTTAGCATAACGCCTACAAGGTTCATCATGTTGCTGCAAGTGGCAAGATTGCATTCTTTTTCGTTGCGGAATAATATTCCATTATATATACTACACTTTTAAAATCCATTTATCCATCAAAGTACACTCAGTTTGTTCTATATTTGGTTATTGTAAATAACGTTGCAATAAACATAGGGGCGCATGTGTCTTTTTGAATTAGTGTTTTTGTTTACTTCAGATAAATATCCAGAAGTGGAACTGCTGGATCATAAGGCAGTTCTATTTTTGATTTTTTGAGGAACCTCCACACTGTTTTCCATAGTGTCTGCACTAAATTACATTCCTATCAACAGTATATGAGAATTTCCATTTCTCCACATCTTCCCCAACACACGTGTGTGTATGTGTGTGTGCATACAACAGCCATTCTAACAGGTGTGAGGGGATATCTCATTCCAGTTTTGAGTTGCATTTCCCTGATGAGTAGTGGTGTTGAGTATTTTTTCATGTACCTGTTGGCCATCTGTATGCCTTCTTTGGAAAAATATATGTTAAAAAATATATGTTCAGATTCTCTGTTCATTTTTCATTCAGATTGCTTTTTTTTTTGCTGAGTCATATGAGTTCTTTATATATTTTGAATGTTAGCCACTTATCATATATATTATTTGCAAATATTTTCTCCCATTTGGTAGGTTTGCTTTTTCATTTTGTGATAGTTTCCTTTGCTGTGCAGAAGCTTTTTAGTTTGATGTAGTTTCACTTTTTATTTTTGCTTTTGGTGTCAAATCCAAAAAAATAATTGCCAAAACTAATGTCAAAGAACTTACCCTCTAAGTTTTCTTCTAGGGCTTTTAAGGTTTCAGGTCTTACATTCAATACATATAATACATTTTGGGTTTATTTTTACGTATCGTATAACATAGTGGTCCAGTTTCATTTTTTTTGCATGTGGTTGTCCAGTTTTCCCAACATCATTTATTGAAGAGACTACACTCCTTTTTAAAAATATATATATATTTTTAATTTATTCATGAGAGACACAGAGAGAGAGAGGCAGAGACACAGGCAGAGGGAGAAGCAGGCTCCATGCAGGAAGCCCAATGTGGGACTTGATCCCGGGACTCTGGGATTATACCTTGAGCAAAAGGCAGATGCTCAACCGCTGAGCCACCCAGGTGTCCCAAGGGACTATACTCTTAAAATGGGTGCATTTTAGTGTATAAACTATTTCAATAAAGTTAATTTTAATAATAATTATTTAGCTGCACCATATGAAAAATTAGAGCTACTCAACCAATTATGACTTATGAAATGTCATTTTTTACAGATAGCTCAATCTAATTTATTAATGAATGAGAAATATTATTTGGAATTAACTCAAACTGAATTTTTGAAAGCATTTTTACTATAAATAATATTTGTGTGATAATACATGCATCTTTCCCTTAAGAATCACTGTTAGAGGACCACTATTTTTGATGGATAATTGGAACTGGTAAGAAAAAAAAGTCATTAAATGCTATTTTTTAAAAAGATTTTATTTATTCATGAAAGACACAGAGAGAAAGAGAGGCAGAGACATAGGCAGAGGGAGAAGCAGGCTCCATGCAAGGAATCTGATGTGGGACTCGATCCTATATTCAGGAATCATGCCCTGAATCTGCCCTGAGGCAGACGCTCAACCACTGAGCCACCCAAGTGTCCCAAATGCTATTTTTATTTTAAGTTTTAGGATCTCTTACACCTAGTTACTTTTGATCAACTTTAATCAAGAGTGATATAGCCCCATCTACCACAAATTTAAATCAACAAAGATAATACTTTCAAAAGGATGTTGAAAGATGCTCTTAAAAATAACAATTTTAGAAGTCAAAAAATTTATTTTCTTCTCAGAAAACTAGAAATACTAATTTCTTAGGATGAAGACAATATTTGACAAACTTCTTGATAAGAGTTATAAAAGCATTTTGGGGGGTTGGTTAAGTACTTGCCTCTTGATATCAGCTCAGCTCTTGATCTCAGGGTCATGGGATGGAGCCCCAGGTTAGGCTCTGTGCTGGGTGTGGGGCCTGCTTGGGATTCTCTTTCTCCCTCTGCCCTAATCCCTGCCCCCACCCTATTCTCTACCTCTCAAAATAAAATAAAATTAAAATTAAAACATTCTGGGATTGTTGATTCAATATATTGTATACCTGAAAATAATATAACACTGTATGTTGTTGTTGTTGTTGTTTTAGATTTTATTTATTTATTTATTAGAGACACAGAGAGGCAGAGACACAGGCAGAGGGAGAAGCAGGCTCCATGCAGGGAACCCGACGTAGGACTCGATTCCGGGTCCCCAGGATCATGCCCTGGGCTGAAGGCGGCGATAAACCGCTAAGCCACCAGGGCTACCCTATAACACTGTATGTTAACTACTAAAATGAGTTATAGAAGCATTTAAATATAAAATTCAGGATACCCTCCTTAACAGTAAATGAAACAATGTCATTTGCCTAATTTAGAAATCTTTATTTATTTATTTTTTAAAAAGATTTTATTTATTTATTCATGAAAGACACAGAGAGAGAGGCAGAGACATAGGCAGAGGAGAAGCAAGCTCCCTGCAGGGAGCCTGATGTGGGACTCGATCCCAGGACTGTCAAATCATGCCCTGAGCTGAAGACACTCAACTGCTGAGCCACCCAGGCATCCCAGAAATCTTAGTTTAAAAAAAACAGCAACAGGGATCCCTGGGTGGCGCAGCAGTTTGGCGCCTGCCTTTGGCCCAGGGCGCGATCCTGGAGATCCGGGATCAAATCCCACGTCGGGCTCCCGGTGCATGGAGCCTGCTTCTCCCTCTGCCTATGTCTCTGCCTCTCTCTCTGTGTGTGTGTGTGACTATCATAAATAAATAAAAATTAAAAAAAAAAAACAAACCAGCAACAAATTTTCAGACCAATTACAAAAATGTAGTCAATTTCAAAAAGCATGAAATTCTTGTTTCTCATATTGTTTTGTCCTATATGTGTTTATGTTTCTATTTTAGGATGATTAAGAACTTTACCACAGTCAAGAAGTCCTTCTGGGAAAAAAAGAACTATTGAGGTTCATTATTACAAAAATAGAATGAAGAATAAAGAGCAGCAAATAGACTGTGACAACCTGGAAAGGCAATGACAACATAGTCAGCTTTCGCTCACTTTCAGCTCCTTCTGAAATATTTTCCTTGCTGACATCCAAGTGGTTAGATCAATTGTCAAGGAGTGGTTAGTTTCTAAAGGACAAGCCAAGGTATTTGAGGCGAACTGATGTAAAACATACACTAGAAGCATTTCAGGTGAAATTGGTCTCTTGGAAGGATTGCCAGATAAAATACAGCATGGCCAGTTAAATTCATATTTCACATAAAATTTTTTACTATAGGTATGCCCCATGTAGTATTCATTATACAGAAAAAAATATTTCTTATTAATCTGAAAATCAAAATTAACTTGGTGTCCTGTATCTTTATTTGCTTTATCTGTCAACTCTATCTCATTGAGTGATTAATATAATTCAGTAAAATAATAGTTCATAACCTATCAGAGATTTTGTAAAATATACTTAACAGACTCTTAAAACAAGATTGAACAAACTGGCAGGGTTCCCTCCTTATCTTTCAGGTACATTGTCAATATTGTTTTCTGGAAAACAAATGTTATTCAATTGTATAGATAAAAAGTAAGTAATTAATAAAACCCATTTGTATGGGGGCAATAGCCAACAGCACATTCCTTCAGTAAAGACTATAATGATTCTGGATTACATATAGTCCAGCCTTCAGAGAGGAAAAACCTTTCTGAGAAAGGTTAACAGGAACTACATCTTAATTTCCTTTGGGAAATTCCCTATGCATTTGGCTATGACACTATCCTGTGTGTACACACACAGACACACAGACACACAGACACACAGACACCTTTTCTATTTGTTTCTGTTGTGATAGAATTTATTTTATCTAAAAGAAGTTGGAAGGTGTTTACTTGGACCATGTCATTAACATTTCCAACTTGCTGAGTGGTTCCCATGTTTCTCAGAGGTCTTCACCCTGTAAAGGCTGATGGATGGGCTGACCGAGCCTTCTAGACTTCAGTTGGTGTAATGTGAGCGCAGTGCCTGGAAACAATAAAACAGCAATTTTCTGAGAGATTTGCCTGCAAAAGAGCCAGGAACATGAAAGCCTTTTCCGTTTCCCACCCTAAGCCTCTTCTTTTCTCTCAGTCCCAGGAGGGGTTTGGGAGACTGTATCCTGTCATGTTAATTGAGGGTGACATTAAATGTAGTCTCAGCAGCAGCAGCTCTAATGGCTAGAAGGGAAAGACCCCTGGAGTAGGAATCAGAAGAGCCAGGCTCCAGTCTGGCCAGAGTAGAGGCTTCAAGTCATGAACAACAGAAGCAAAGGCCGCAGGGGTGAGAAAATGTCAGATCTTTTCTCTCGAAAGCTGGATGATACCATCCAGTCATGATTTGACAAGCAATGGTTCTGGCTCTGGTAGTGCCTTTGAACTAGGAGAAGGCTTGTCCTCAGGTAAGTCCATCAGAACTGGGCCAGAATGTCTAACTTCATGCTGGGTAATGACCACAAGAGAGCTGTGCCATGAAACTGGGTATCTTCATGTTACGAGCTAAGAAGGGATATGCACGCTCAACCATGTGTCCTAAAGATAGATTCAGAGTAAGGAGATCTAGACTAGAGTCATGTGAAGGGCTACCAGTGGGATTTTGGTTGCCCAGGGCAGTTTCATAACAGTAAGCAATAAACTTTAACTCTGGAGAAGTCTAGATTCAGGATACCCCATCTAGTACCATCCCAATGGTTACTTTCTGATTTAAAATGCATGGAATTGGGGATCCTTGGGTGGCTCAGTGGTCTGGCACCTGCCTTTGGCTCAGGGCGTAATCCTGGAGTCTCGGGATCGAGTCCCACATCGGGCTCCCTGCGTGGAGCCTGCTTCTCCCTCTGCCTGTGTCTCTGCCTCTCTCTCTCTCTCTCTGGGTCTCTCATGAATAAATAAATAAAATCTTAAAAAAAATAAAATTCATGGAATTGTGATAATTCTGCCCACATTTGCCACTTTTTCTTCGGTAATCTAACAATTGTGTAATAGCAAGAATTGTATAATAGTTTATTTCCAGGTTCACCCAGTAATCTGTAGCTATTCCAAATAATAAATAACTATAAACTTAGAGTCTCTGGATATCCTAAAAAATAATGTTGGAAAAGTCTCACTTCATGAACTTTTTGGCTCTCATGAGGAAACTGCCTATATTTTCAGGGTTTAAAATTCTAACAGAAGTTAACTTACATAGAAAAAAGTTGTCCAGGGACACCTGGGTGGTTCAGCGGTTGGGCATCTGCCTTTGGCTCAGGGTATGCGCCTGGGTCCGGGGATCAAGTCCCACATTGGGCTCCCTGCAGGGAATTTGCTTCTCTCTCTGCCTATGTCTCTGCCTCTCTCATGAATAAATAAATAAATCTTTAAAAGAAAAGAAAAAAAAAGAGAAAGGTAGTCCAGGGTGCCTGAGCTCCTTTTACCTCGGGGCAAGGCCAGAAGCCTGTGTTAAACTCACACTCAAGATGGCAAAGGCAAGAGGGGCTGGGAGGAATATGCTAAATGCTGAGGAGAGTTGGATTCTTCTTAGATGGAGGAAACAGATAATTGAAACCAGGCCTTTCAAACTCATAGGTTTCAAACTCATAGGTTTCAAACTTCTATTCCCCCCCCCCCCACTGCCTCAGCAGGGGGCAGCACAATGAAGGGATGGGAGCACAGGGATACCCTGAAAATGAACACAAATCATTATAGCCTTGAAAGCCTCAGCAGGTCCAGCGGCCAAGCCATGAGGCGACAAAAGCAGCAGATGCCATGGGCAACAGGACTGTAAATAGAACACACACCCACCTCAGAATGGAGGTATGAGCCAGAGATGAAGACAACATTTCTAATCCAAACTGGAACACTCTCCAATCTTCCATACTGATGCTGGACTGACATCACTGGCCTTGGCCTAGATACTGGTCCCAAAGCAGCTAAGTGTTGGTCACTGTCAACTACTCCTTGCACAGAGCAATAACAGGAAGACCATCTGGAGCCACCTTTTCCAGCCACAGCTAGAAGTCAGAGGACAGGCTGACCACCAGGCAGAAGCAGGCTGGACTTCTAAGGCCCTGCCTTGGTCACAGGACCCATGGGAAGCATGTGAACAGTGACCAGCCATTGTGGGGTTTTTCCAGAAGGACACTATGATTCTTCTGGTTCAGTCTCCTATCTCCTGTCTAACCTTCTTCCTGGCATTACTTCCAGGCCTCTGCTGGCAGTGGTACTTTTGGGACTGATTGTGATGGTGATTTTCTGTTTAATGGATGAGTGAGCATTTCCATAAAATGCATCTCATATTACTAACATCACTAATTTCTTCGCTTTCTTGCATCCAATCAGTCATTCCACTTCATCTGTGGATTTCATTAATGGGCCATTGACTCCCTCTTCCAGATCATTAGTGAAGATGTCAGATTCTGACTGGACCTAATACCAGTTCCCATGGCTCAAAGCTGGCTTCCCTGAGAGCTCCCACGGGAGGCATTCATCACTGCTGTACGTGTGCTTTCTTTATCCCAAACCAATTTTAACCTATTTTGCAAGAAACACTTGTTAAGATGTTGTAAAAATTAATGTTTCTCCAAGGAAGTCCCAATTTTCATAGGACCAGAACAGATGGCCACATGACATGGTACAAAATACACATTCCTGAAACCCTGGCTCCCACTGACCAGATAGAACAGGCTCATTTATCCATTCATTCCTGTCTCTGGAAGAACAAAGGGATTACACCCTTCTGTGATAATCCTCTGTGCTTTTCATGCCTTTCCAGCATCACACTCTTCTGTTGATTTGCCTTTTCTATTTGACAGAAGCTTTTGATTTCGGTCCATCTTCCTGGTTCTGTTAGGATGCTTTATGGAAACCAGCAGGTTACTGGATTGGCAGTGGAACATACGTAGACGGCGGAGTCTGCAGTTGAGAGAAGATGATGTTCGTCATGGCTGGAAGAGCAGGTATTGTTCCTGGGGTTTCTTAACCTTTCTTTACCTTCTCCCAGTGTAAATCAGGTTCTTGTGATGAGAACTGAATCAGAGAAAATGATCTAGTAGATCAAATCAATTTCTTTTTCTTTTTAATCCCTAGATGCCTTGCTATACAGAGTATTCAAGTTTCAACACCAATTTTTTCTTCTTTGCCTTGTAATTTCCTTCTGAAATTCAGGAAAAGAGGAGTGCTTTTCTTCCCTCTATTAGAATAGTTTTGAGGGGGCACCTGGGTGACTCAGTGGTTGAGTGTCTGCCTTTGGCTCAGGTCGTGATCCTAGGGTCCTGGGATGGAGTCCCACATTGGCTCCCCGCAGGGAGCCTGCTTCACCCTCTACCTATGTCTCTTCCTCTCTCTCTGTGTCTCTCATGAATAAATGAATAAAATCTTTAAAAGAAATAAAAAAATAAAAATATAGCTCTACCATCACTATGACTTGTGAATAATGCTTATGGAGGCACACTGAAAAGAAAACTATAAAATGAAATGGGAAGAAACTATCTTTCTGCTTGGAGTCCAAACTGAAAATGGATCTTCCATTAGCCAAGTGTTGTGGCATTTCCTGAGCAAACTATTAAACATTTTCCAGGCAACATGATCTCTGATATCACTGTCTAATCACTTCTCACCAAAAAGCATGTGGGTTATATCATGTAACTCAAAAACTATTCTGGAAACTAATGTACCACTGGATCTTTGGATGCATTTCCAAGATATATTTGATTTTGTACTGTAATATATAGAATAGTATAGCTTAGCATAGCATTGCAGAACAAATATATAGCATAATAGAGTATTGACTTTGGAAACTCCATTGGTTCAAATCCCGGCCCTGCCACATATTAGCTATGTGATCTTGGGACTATATTTAATCTCTTTGAGCCTTAGTTTCACTCTATGAAAATGTGATAATAAACCTACCAATTGTGAGGATTAAGTGAGTGTATTAGGATTCGCCAAAGAAAAGGGATATATATTGGCTCATGTGATTATGGAGGCTTGGGCAGTCCAAAATGTGATAGAGCAGGCTGGCAGGCTGAACAGTTACAGTTTGAATCTACAGGTGGTCTCCAGTAGAATTCCTTCTGTCACAGGAGAGGCCAATCACTGACTTACTAAGGCCTCCAACTGATTGGATGAGGCCCACCCATATTATGGAGGATAATCTGTGTTACTCAAAGTCTACAGATTTTTTTTAAACATTTTTATTTATTTATTCATGAGAGACACAGAGAGGCAGAGACACAGACAAAGGGAGAAGCAGGCTCCATGCAGGGATCCCGATGTGGGACTCGATCCCAGGACCCCAGGATCACACCCTGAGCCAAAGGCAGACCCTTAACTGCTGAGCCACCCATGTATCCCAAAGTCTACAGATTTATATTTTTTTTATTTTATTTATTTATTTTTTATTTTTTTTTAATTTTTTATTTATTTATGGTAGTCACACAGAGAGAAAGAGAGAGGCAGAGACACAGGCGGAGGGAGAAGCAGGCTCCATGCACCGGGAGCCCGACATGGGATTCGATCCTGGGTCTCCAGGATTGCGCCCTGGGCCAAAGGCAGGCGCTAAACCGCTGCGCCACCCAGGGATCCCCCAAAGTCTACAGATTTAAATGTTAGTTTTATCCCCAAAAACACCTTCACAAAAAAATCCAGAAGAACAAATATCTGGGCACTGTGGCCCAGCCAAGTTGACATGTTAAAGTGAACCATCACAGTGAGGTAAGATTTCTACAGAGAAAGGAGCAGATAGTGCAGACAACATTTGATAAAAACATGTCATTATTTTATGTATACCAGTGACTTGGGGGATGAGGATAAAGTTGCTTATTTTGAGAGGAGTTCTTTGCTGGAAGTTTCTGATAAAGATTGGCTGGGGGATCCCTGGGTGGCGCAGTGGTTTAGCGCCTGCCTTTGGCCCAGGGCGCGATCCTGGAGACCCGGAATCGAATCCCACGTCGGGCTCCCGGTGCATGGAGCCTGCTTCTCCCTCTGCCTGTGTCTCTGCCTCTCTCTCTCTCTCTC